CTTGGACTCAAGAACGTCAACAATTGTTGGTGTGTACAGCCTAAAGATAGAAGTAGAAGAAATTGTTAGTGAATATGGTGGCGACGCAGATGCTGACGTCATAATTAAACTGCTAGTTGCAGTTCCTCTTCAGAAGAGGGTCACCAAGAGCCAGTTAACCTTATTTTTTGTTTGAAAGAATAAAAGAGCAGTAACAAACTGGTCATTCACTACACTTGTCTGGACAGCGCAGCAACATTTTAAAAGTGTGTTTTGGTGATTCGGTATTGACAAATTAAATTACTCTAAACAGTTTTGTGGTGGTCTATGTCCACAGGACACAATTTTATTAATATTGGTTAAACTTGGGCACCAATATATAGTTAATTAGTATTTGAACTAGCTAGAATGTTTAAAATGTCTAGCTTTACATTAAAACATTTTTAATAAATGGGCCATTATTATTACGATTGAGTGTTATCAGAACGATTTTATTTTTTTATAATAAAAGGATTTGTGTTGAGCACAAAAAATTTGTGTGGCGAAATTTGTAAACAGCCTCTTGACTCGACAGAAATTAGACTAGCTACACAATTATATAAGGTGTGTTTCTTTTTGGCAAATTAAGGGCAAATAGTGTTCCTACCCATGAAAAATTAATATTATTTGGTGTATTGAATCAAATATCTGCTAACAGAAAATGATGTATTGTAATATATTGATATATTAGTTGTTTTAGTGCTCTTACTAGTAAAACAATAATGTTTAAAAATAAAATAGAAGTGTAAAATATTCAATGAATAATCTACATTTAAAGTATGTAACTCTAGAAATATGTACAACTATAATAATGAAATTACAATAAATGTATTTATTATGCCATTAGAACATAGTTTAAAAATTACAATTAGCAGGTAAATCGTGTACGTCGAAAGTCATACATAAATAAACAGTTGAAAAACAAATTACACGAAGTAATTTTATTTTTCACTTTACGACTCTTGTGCAAGCATCCATCCAATCTCTTAAAATAAATTAATGTCTATCTTGAAATCCATCAAATGTACTTTAATCACTTGGGACATGATTTATTACTTGAAATAAATTTTCGGCTACTACATAACTGATGCAAATACCTGTCGGCGAATAATAAAAAATTATCAGTATTGTTAGGCAATAAAGACTTTAATAATTCTGAACATTTAATTTTAAGCCAAGTTGACCATCTAACATACCTTTGATACATTAATTAAGCTATATGTGTCAAAGATGTATGGCATGATTCAATGTAATGATCCATGAATACTTGTCTTGCAAAATTGATTGAGTCTGTGTTAGACTTAACATTAAATAGTGAACATCAGGGATTTTCATTAAGCATTCTGGATGCACGTTTTCTCCTCTGCCAAAATATCTTGTTTCTTTCCTTAGATTCCAATCTAAAACTAAAAGAAAATGAAGTAGCAAAACTTAGTAACACTTATCATGCACACAATAGTATAATTAGCCCTATATGCCTGCTATGTACTGTATCATTTTGTCTCAGTTTCTTTAATTTAAAATTTTATTTAGTTTTAAAATAATACTAGAAGGCTCACCCATAAAATTAGTAATTTAGACAACAAGTCCAACTTCGTGGATAAACCGGACTGTGGTCTCCAGATCAGCAGGTGCCCCATATAATTTTTCCCTAAGTGGGATGAGCAGGGGCCAGTGTCTGACTCGCGCCTGGCTACATAAAGGGCATTCCTAGAGGACATGCTCCGAATTTTCCGGGGCCTTGCCACAAGGACATATTTCATTACCCTGGATCTGGCAGTGGCCCGGGATCCACTGCAGCAAAATTCTGCTGCAGGTATTTATTAGCCTTTCTAGTGCTGTCCTAAGTGATTGGGTATAGGACTCTGGATTTTTTAGGGATTGCAGGACAGATTTGGCATCTGTAAGAAAAACTATCTGATTATTTGAAGATTCGGGGTGTTCTGACAGGAGGTTTGCTGCATGTTCTAAAGCTTCTTTTTTCTGCCCTAAAGTTGTTGGATAGGCTGCCTGTGGCTATTGACTTTTCCAGGCTTTCTCCGCTTGGCCATTCAAAAAGGACGCCAGCCCCGCCATTTTTTGTGGCATCTTCAACTGAGCCATCTGTGAACACTCTAATCCAGGTATTGCTGGGGTACTGATCTTTAATGTGCTTATTTATTTTTTTTAGTTCTTCTTGATCATAGTCAGATTTTTTTTCTATGGTGTCTATTGAGTCGCTAATAGTTAAATGAGAGTGGGAGATCCAAGGCGGGGAGAGGTTTTGAGTTTTGATTGTTTCAGGAATGATGTTTTCGATTTCATATTTCTTTTTTAGATTCTTAGCTTCTTTGATGAAACTTGTTTTTTGTAGTCTGTTTGATGGACTGGGCTACTGGAGTTTGTGTTTTAGATTATGTTTTTCCAGTGCCTCTAGCTTTGTGTATTGAGTGAGGATTTTTGATTCTCTTCTTTCTTCTATTGAGCTAAGAGCGGCTATTTCCTCCATTGCTTTTATAGGCGTTGTTTTCATGGCTCCTGTCATTATTCTCAAACCAATGTTCTGAACTTTATCAATTTTGCTAATATTTGTTTTTGCTGCTGAGCCCTAAGCCGAAGCACCATATTCTAACGTAGGTCTCACATAGCTGGTGTAGGTTTATTTCAGGCTGTGATGATTTGCCCCCCAGTCTGTTCCTGACATTTTCCTCATTAGATTAAGTCTTTTAATCCCATTACCTTGAGTGTTTTCTATTTATTTCTCAAGGTACGTCGAGTGTCAAAAGTGACTCCTAGGTATTTGGGGTGGTCATTTTTTTCTAGCTCTTGGTTTTCTAGGGTTAGTTTCATTTTTTGATGTTTAGTTGATAGGGTGAAGATTGAATATGTTGTTTTCTTGGTATTAATAGATAAGCTCCAGTTTTTGGTCCATTTGCTGAGCTTGTCAAGTGTTTCCTGAAGACTCTGTGCTGATTAGTGAAAGGTCGTCTGCAAACATGCTTCTTTTTACTCTCCTTGTGATGTTTTCATTTAAGTCATTTATATAAAAGAGAAAGAGAGTAGGAGACAAGACTCCTCCTTGAGGGACTCCTTTTTTCCCACGTTTTCTTTAACTTGCTTTAGCGTCTGTTTGTTTGTTTGTTTGATTGTCTTTCCATCAAATCTTGCGATCGAAATTTCGGGCACTTTCCAGTTAGCTAACTCGCTGAAATTTTTAATTTTTTGTCATAATGCGCACGCAGTTTGCGATCGTTTATAGTAGAGTGATCGCTTGCATTATTGTGATGTATAGCATTTACTTTCTACTTTTTAGTTCAAACAGAAAACGTGGTTTTTTTTTAAATTTAATGATAATTATTTATAGTTACAGTATGACTTCTTTTTCCTTGCATGGAGACTGATGCTTTTCGGTTGTTTAGGTAACCTTTGATCCAGTTTAGCATGTGAAGAGATACTTGATGGTTTATTAGCTTTAGAATTAAACCTTGCTCCCAGACCTTGTAAAGGTTTTTTCAAAGTCAACCCACACTATTAAGGTTGTTTTTTAGCGCAATTTCCATACTGACAATTATTAATTCGTTATTTCTGGATGGATGGATGGATGGATGGATAGATGGATGGATGGATGTGTGTCCGCAGCTTTAAGTCGTATCTCCTCCTCAACGAAGCATAATCGAGGACTAGTTCAAAAGCAAATATCTTAAGCAAGTTCCGATGATGATTGTGGGCCAAAAAAAATCCCGGAATTCCTTCCTGGATTTCACGGAAAAGCCAAAAAACCTCGAAAAAATGCAGTTTTTGGCCCATATCTCGGCAACCAGACCACTTAGTGACTTGAAACATTTACCAATCGATTTCTGCTATAATTTAGAACAATATTGCCGAAGAAAGTTTTCAAAAATATTCTTTCGTTCGGTTACAAAAAATTAATTAAGGAAATTGCGCTTAAATTGTCACTAGACTTTTTATTAACTTGTTTTTCTTGAAAGCCATCTTCTATTTCCTGAGAAATGAAGGTGATTTGGTCTTCAGTAGATCTGCACTTCCTGAAGCCTGCCTGTCCGTCTGCTAGTCAAATGACACGGAAACCGGCTCAGGAGGACGACTCCCATTAGCCAGGCAGGCCTCCACACAACATACTCCGACTAACTGGCAATTATTGCGAGCTGTGGGCAGCTCGAAGATGTCGGGTTGAATGTCGCGTTTTGGTCGCTATTCTCCGTGGGTTCCCACCAGGCTTGCCTTCCCTATCACCCGACGCAGGACTTCGTCCCACCGTCGTGGTACCCAGCTAGATCGCGGACATTTTAAAAACAGGGTCGAGGGGCTTCGGATTGCTCTAGCCGTTGAGTTCCTCTATCACAAGGGTCCAGACCCCCATCTAGGCCCTCATGACGGTTTCCCTCAACAGCCCTGGCAGGAGATAACGTAGTTCTTGGCCTCGTACTAGACGTGCCCGTTATTCCTAGGCGCTCCCTCTCGCCTGCTGGGTGGACTCGGGCTTTTCTGCCGCTCCAGTACTTCGTACTACCCGTCCTGGGAGCCGTTCCTTGTCTGACCTCCCGTTCCAGTATCCGGGCGTTATACCTTCGTGGGAGGCCCTGGTGTCCCTGTCGCAGGTCACCTAAAAACCACCAGGGGGTGCAGGGTGGGGGCCTCTAGCCAAAGTTGGACGTCGGCGTTAGCGGACAGTTCTTTTCGTGATTCCGTGGGTAAGTCGTAGCTATGGCGACCCTTCCGTACCCCGCCGAATAGGGACATTCAGGTGACCAGGCTAGCGCACATCTCACACGAGGGGGGGGGGGGGGTAGGCGTTTGTCTCGAGCTGCCGTTGCCATGGTTTCCGTTCCTACTTGGGCCCTCGCCCGTTAGCCCGCCTATGAACGGGTCCCCACTTTTACGGCTTTGACTCCCGCTTTCCTCCCGCGTACCTACTTGGTCGTCGGTAGGGGGGTCGAGGCGGTTCTGGTTGGGGCTCGGTTCCTCCAAGAGCTTTTTCGGGTTCAGTTTTCATGGTCCGCCGCGCGGTAGTAGGAGAGGACACCAGACTCTCTTACGAAACTGCACACGTCCTTCATCAGACCCCAGTTTCTGTACAGGTATTTGTCAACGTCTTGGATCCCATCTATGTGCTCCTGCCTCATCTGGGCCAGTGCAGGGCACTCAATAATGACATGTTCGACAGTTTCCACGGCATTGCCGCAGTGTCGACATTGGTCATCGCGGGTAATCTTTAGTCCACTCAAGTAGGACTTGGACGGACAGTGCCGTGTACGTAACTGGGTGATGATGGACTGCTGCCATCTCTGCAAGTTCCACCATGGATCCGATCTCGAGGGTTTCTTCATGTGTTTGAAGACAACCCGGCCCTTAGACCCTTCTGCCCACTCTTTTTCCCATTCCCGTTTGAAGCTCTCTTTCAGCCTCACTAGACATTCACTGTATGTAACGGGAATGGTAGCGGCCACTTTCCGCACCCCTCTGTTCGCAAGAGCGTCTGCTTTCTCGTTACCTGCCAAGCCGACGTGGCCGGGCACCCATTGGAAGCAGATTCTTCTGCCTAGGATTCTCGCAATGCGATCGGCACCGTAAAGCATGGAAAGGACGCCTGAATCGTTGTCATCGTTGCCGTAGCTGCCCATAGCTTGGAGGGCTGACATGGAGTGAGTGATGATCACTGCTCCCTGCGCTACGGCATCCCCGCTCTTAACGAGATCTTCGATCTTCGAGAGCGTGGCCACGATGGCGCAAATTTCTGCTTCATAATTGGTACCGCCGCATGGTCCGCTCAAACAGCTGGTTCGGGTCACCGACCCGTCCCAATACTCAATATAGGCTCCATACCCAACCGTCTGCTAGTAGATTGTTCGATTCAAGAAACCAGGTCAGTCTGTTGTTTTCTACTCTTTCCATCAGTTTACATACCCAGCTTGTTAGACTTATTGGGCGATGGCTATCGACTTTGTTCCTGGGTTTTCCTATCTTGAGAACAGGTATCATGATTGCTTTTTTCAAAATATTTGGGATTTTCCCAGATTTCCAGCTTGCATTAAATATTTGGAGCAGTTTTTTCTTAGCAATGGGGCCCAGGTGCAAGAGCATATCATTTGAGATTTTGTCAGGGCCTGGAGCTTGCTTAAGTTTGAGGAGCTTCATTGCTTCTTCAAGCTCCTTCGTGCTAATTTGAGCTACCATTCCAGTGAAGGAGGGGGGAGAGACTTTCTGTAGTTTTTCTTTAAATTCAGTGGCTGATATTTATTGGTCCCATTTTGCTGAAGCGAACTATAAATTCTTTAGCTGCATCCTTTTCCTTTTTGATCGTGTTTTCTATGTCGATGACTATGGGAGTAGCTCTGTTTTCTTCTTGGTTTAGCTTTTTTGCACTACTCCAGAGTTTGTGACCATCTCTATCTACATTGAGGTGTTCTGTTTTTTCATGCCAGCTTTTTCTTAATGCAGTTAGATACTTTTTTCTAAATACTGCATTTGCTGATTTTAATTTTATGTTATTTTCTACAGTCGGATTTTCTTCTACAGTGTTTCTAGCATCAATTGTCTCGTCATGGAGTTTCTGGAGGTCTGGAGTCCAGTTTGGGGTGTAATTTTCTCTTGCTCCCCTTGGAATAGATTTTTTGGCTGCTAACAGAACTGCTTTTGAGAAGGCGGCGTATGACTTGTTCACCTGGTTTGTTTTGCAGTTGCTTGGTCTTGTGTAGGAGTCTGTGAGGGAAGAGAAGAGCTCCCAATTTGCTTTTTTGAAGTTCCATCTAGGGCGGTCGTAGGCTTCAATTGACCTGTCTGATGTTTCTATCTGGATCAGGATTGGTCGGTGGTCACTAGTGGCTAGTTGATCTGCAACTTCTCTTTTGCATTTTTTTGGATATGCCATTTGTAGCAAAAGCTAGGTCAGGGGTAGACGAGGTTAACCAAGACCTTGAGTAAAAAGTTTGTTTGTCATCAGGTTTATTTAGAAGGATGAGCCTATTTTCTGCTTGCCATTCTTCAATTTCCTCTCCTTTAGCATTGAGTTCAGGGTAACCCCAGCTCTGGGAGTTGCTGTTCATGTCTCCCACAACCAGGCAATCTTCGCTGTTTGGCAGGGAGATGCGGTCCAGTTCCAAGTTCTTATCAGGTGGACAGTAGCAATTGAAGATATTTAGGTTACCTTCTGCGAGTATGAGTTTAGTACCCATTATCCCATATGCTGTTGAGTTTGGTATAACGATATCTGTTGTTGGTATGTCATTTTTATGAGGGTGAGGATACCTCCTTTAGGTCTGTTTTCCCTGTCCTGCCTTATGCAGGTGTATCCTCTAATAGAGAAGCGAAGATTGTTGTTAAGGTGAGTTGTTTGAATACAAGCAACGTCTACTTTATTTTCATGTAGGAATACTTTTAAGGTTTCCTTTTTTGTGTACTCCCTCTGCATTCCACTGCAGGATAACAAGTAATTTGTTGTTTTTCTCACTATTTTGGCCAGTAGATTTAACCTTCTGTTCCTTGCCCCTGGCTTTCCAGGCAAGAATAGAGGAACCACCAACTCGCTTTTGTGGGCTCCTTCGAGTCGGAGAGCCCGGTGCCCTACCTGCGCGGCGGGATTCCACAGACAGGACGCCACTTCTGTTAATCCTATTGCTTTTCTTCCATCATAAAATTAAGCAGTGCGTGCCAGCATGTTATGCGCCATACTAGATGGCTCGTTGACTCCGACTTCAGCCTGCTTTTCTTTCTGGATTTGCTTCCATAGTCTTTGATCACACAAGAACAAACTACAAGGCAGTAGCTGTTTGATTTTGGAGTTTTCTCTCCTAGATGGGTTGCTGTCCCCAGCTAACGAGCCCCATCTGCCCGGGTTTGGAGTTATAGCGCCCGAGGCTCGCCGTTGAAGTCATTTCCTTGGAATTATGAGATATTTTTGATGGATATCCTAACCAATGGATATCCCACCTCATCCTCCATGACCACAAACCAGTTGGTCCACGGCTGTTTATTTGGTATTCACAGCTAACCCTCATATCTAAGGGCCTCTCCCCTATCCGCCACCAGGTGACGCGCTTGGTAGGAGATAGTAGCTCCCCCAAGCACTACGACTAAAAAATGAAAATATGAAGTTAATAACTGAATGCGTAAAGTAAACAAAAAGTAAAGCTTAACAAGTTACTAAGTAGAGTATGGTCAAAAACTAAATTAGGTCTAATAAAAATCAATATATTAAGCTTAAAAATTTACCTTTTTGAAAGATCTTCTTAAATACTTTGAACCAAGTTAATTTTTCCAAAGATGACTTTCTCCATTGTATTCGTGTAGTATTACTATTGTTGTTGGTAACAGGACCGTCGCTTTGTTTATATTAGTTTATAGCCTACTTCTCTATAGCGCCACCTACCGGCGCTTTCTTAGAAATACGGCCCATTGTGCGCGTGTTTAATAAAATATTTGTGGAGTGCGTGTGACGTTATCGTGATGCGACAAAGTTACCGCAAGAGTGAAGACGATTGGGGGTTAGCCATTGTAGGAAAAAGACGTGTTTTGTATTGTGTAATAATAGTATTTGGTAATAAAGGTAATTCTATTTTATGATCGAAGTTGTCGATATCCTTAACTTAGTGTCGTCGAAAAATAAGTTTTCCCGTCCTCATCGCTTTTGTATAGTTGGAGTGTTAGTAGTAGAAGTAGTCATCATATAGATTCATATAGTAACGCATACATTCCGCCAACGGTGAGAGTTCATCTTCGACGGTTGGTTGATCGAATGATGGTTTGAGATTTGTTACTGAATATTGAGTTATCTAAATTAAATTTTTTGTCGCAAACCCACAGAATTCATCAAATTAATTTCCCTTATGTGCTCTGCAAAGAACACAAGTACCATGTTATCTACAATTTACCAGCCATTTTCAAAGAAGATCGAAGTCCTGCAAGGTTTTGTGTTTTCGCCACTGGTTATCTATCTACCTATATACTACTAAAATCAAATTTGTTTACATGTTTGAATATTTTTGTTTTGTTTGTTTATTTGTCTTTAGGTAACGGGATAGAATCTGCACTATATGTAGCGCTGTAAAATATTAATTAGGTAGAGAAAATTTTCTTTTTAAAACGACTATTAATCACAAATTTATTTAAAGACGTTAATTAATTAATTTATTTATTCATTGGTAGATTAACCACATTAATTAGAAAAGTTCAGAACAATCATGAATGTGAATAGTGACGACACATGATTTATTTACTTTTTACAACAATAATGGCGGCTTCCATCGAAGACTTTGTTGCCGATTCAAATGTATAACGCATTCTATAGCTAAGTTTCTATCGTCTATAGCTTTAATGATACGTCCGTTTGCTATTTTTAATACGTTCCAAGACTAATATCAATTTTCAACAGTCCTTTTCATTTGAGTATGCAATAAATTTCTATAGATCTAGAATCTAAAGGTCAGCTGTCGAAGGTGGTTATTTATAGATCAAGATTCTAGTTCAAACTAAAATTAATTAGTTAAAAATAAAATACATTTTAAAAAGAAGAATACTTAGATCAGTTTCTTTATTAAAATATTTTAGTCCTTAAATTTTTTATATAAATCTTTGCTTTTTAGCTACACGGATCATCTAATTCAAGAATACACGTGATTTATCTATCTAGGCTCTAGAACTAGTTACGGCAAAATCTCAACTTAACTAAACCAGTCGTAGAATCTAGAAAACTCTATATCTAGATAATAATGAGTTTCTATACTAAACTATTTCAGACCTTCATTATTTTATATAAAGCTTTGTTTGTTTAGCTATGGAATTGGCTAATTTAAGTTAAAATTTAATTTTAAAGATACTAGATCTAGTGGCTATTCGCGTAAATGAAGTTTCTTAAGCAGGCTCAAACTATTAATATATAGCACAAAAACGTCAATAGCGCAACGAGTCTAGACAGCTAAGTTGTTAGTGTAATATTGTTTGATAATAAAGTTCTATTTGTTGATATAGTTAATTAGTGTCGTCGGAAATTAAGAGTGTTCCCGTCCTCCTCATATGTGTATAGATGAAGACTTCATATAGTTTCAAATAGCAAAACGTATACAATCCCCCCCCCCATCACATCTACGGAAAGTGAGTAAGAAATGAATTGTAATTCAGCTTTTGAAAAAGTTATTATCGGAAACTTAGGAAAGAAACATTTTATTGATCAAGAGCATATGATAAAACATTGTTAAGATTATGAAAAAAAGGAATTTTGTTTTATGTACTGTCTATGTTTATACTTTTGTGACACATCTCCGGGTTTTCTCCCACTTTGAAGAACATTTACAATTTCATTTGAATATGTATCCGTTGTGGTACGACCAACACGGAATCGAATCGATGAATTCATATTAGAGGACCTATTTACGTATGAACTGAACGTAAATCGTTCTCAAATTCTTAATGTCTACAACTTGGGGAAACCAAGTGAATGGTTTATCTCTCGCAAATCAGATGAAATTTACAACTGTATACATTTGGCAGTGATATGTGAACATTCGGATTATTGTAGCAGCATTTTGCAGCTGTATGTGGACAAAAACGGTCAGAGGGGTCACCTAAAATGGGTACACCCTAACATTACCCAGAGTTTGATAAACAAAATTATGATTAAAATATCAGAACCAGACACAATAATTTT